TTTAGGGGTTTAGGGGTGCAGGGGTTCAGGGGTTTAGGGGTTTAGGGGGTGTTACCCTTCCCTGCATCAAAACTCCTATCGCATTCTATCCTAACCCAGTTTAGCCCCGACCGGTGCGTGACATGACGTGACCCGAACCACAGCAGCAGTTTCATCGACCCTGCCTGTGGCAACCCTGGACAGTACACCTGGAGTGAGCGGAATGCTCCAGGCAACGGCGCCCAGGAAGGCCAAACTCATCCGGCAGGTGAACACGCAGTCGTGCAAAACGACCACAGTTCTCCACTTCGCAGCTGCGCGCTCCATGGAGTACACATCGGTCTCCCGGCAAGCCGAAGCGGTCCTTCTCAGAAACACAGGCATTCCTCAAGCGGCCACAGCCGGCCACGTTGCAGCGCCGCTTGAGACCATGCAGACGACACCGCCACCCAGAAGGACCCAGAACATCCTCCGTCAGCTGCACGCGATGGCCCTTTGAAGAGCAATCTTTGACTGAGCACAGGAGTGGCTGGGGCCTCGGCGGCATTCCAAGCAAGGAGGGGGGGCGGAGGAGGCGCCCCGGGGCCTTCACGACCCAGCGCCGCATCTCATCCCAAGCCTCAGGCATCGCCCTGGGGCGTCGCGCCAGTCTCGCCACGACGTCGCGGCAGAACCGCAATGCATGCTTGATGCTGCGTCGAACAGCGCTCTGTCCCAAGTCTAGTCGGCTCAGACACCTGCTGGCAAGCTGCAACAACAAAATCTCCTGGCTCTGGAGGAAGCTCAGGAACGAAGGGCGTGTTTGTCCTGGCTTTTCTGTAAGCCATCTCTGAGCCTCCAGACATACTTGAACTCCGGCGACACAACAAAGGAGCAGCTGGCACAAAAAATGTGAGTGGTCTTTGTCCGTGACGCTGTGGATGCTTTTCTGCAAACTTCTGGTGCAAAATGCGGCCTCTTGCTCGTTCTGCTCCAGAATGGGAGTCTTCCATGCATCCATTGCTGACATCATGGTCCGGCATTTGGGCTTGGGGATTCCTGACAGCACGGCGGCAGCTTCGGAAATCTCTGAAGCCCTGCGCCCTCGATGGGTCGTCGCTGCATCTGAGCGCGAGGAGGGTGCAGCAAAGGGGCGAGCAGGGACGGCCGACCTTCGGACGTTCCTTGCCCGCTTGAGGCCCTCTGCCCCAACAAAGCCTGCAGGCGCGTCAGCCTGTCGGAAGCTCACCAACAGAGTGTCTGCTGCCACGTCTCGGAGAGCGTGCACCACTGGGCTGCGCCCATGATTGAGGACCTCTGGATCAACCTGCCGGAATCCAGAGAATTAAAGGAACCGTTTTAGGGATAATTTCTGATTAGCATCCTAGTATTTTAAGCTATCTATCTATCCATCGATCTATATCTACCTATCTATCTTTATCTATCGATCTATCTATCAATCGCTCTATCTATCTCTCTCTCTCTCTCCATTCGTCCGTCTCCGTCGATCCGTCTGTCCGTCTGTCCGTCTGTCCGTCTGTCCGTCTCTGTCTGTCTGCCTGGCTGGCTGTCCGTCCGTCTGTCTGTCTCTCTGTCTGTGTGTCTGTGTCTTTGTGTCTCTGTCTCTCTGCCTCCCTCTCCCTCTCCCTCTCCCTCTCCCTCTCCCTCTCCCTCTACCTCTCTCTCCCTCTCCCTCTCTCTCCCTCCCTCCCGCCCTCCCTCCCTCCCGCCCTTCCCTCCCGTCCCCTCAGGCCAAGCAAAAGCAGAAAAACAAAAACAATCACCAACAAAAAACAAAAAAAACTCCTCAAACAATTTCGGACCCTATACTTTGCCTGGCGAAGAAAAAGTCGTATTCCATGAAGAAGAAGCAATGGGCCGGCCTTCTTTGAACGTTTTGTTCCTTCGTGGAACTTGGCGAAAAGAAAAGTCATAGTCAACGAAGAAAAAATCACATTCAACGAATGGGCCGGCCTTCTTTGACTATTTGTCCTTTCGTGGAATTTGGCGAAGGAAACAATCATACTCAACGAAGAAAACTCACATTTAACGAATGTGCAGGCCTTCGTTAAATAAGACTTTTCTTCGTGGAACTTGGCAAAGAAAAATCATATTCAACGAAGAAAAATTCATATTCAACGAATGGGTCGGCCTTCGTTGAATATGATTTCCCCTCGTTGAGTATGATTTTTTCTTCGTCGAGCTTGATTCAGACACCAGAAAAAGTCATATTCAACGAATGAAGTTTACGGATTAGGGTCTAGAGTGGCGATCGTCTTGTTGATTTGACGGTTTGCTGCGATTAGGCCCTGCATGAACCCTAAGCCAAAGTCGCCTTCTTTTCTGCCAGCAGAAGGGGAAGCTACAACACAACAGCCGAAGGTGCCATGACAAGGAGCCACCAATCGTGCACGGCCAAAAGCAAACAATAGACAGGGGTGTCGTCGTACATGATCCTACAATTTTATTAGAAAACATGGGATCTGTTTCCAATTCGTCAGACTTCTGTGCATCACATGAATCCCTGCAGGCGGAGGCGGGGGCTTAGGTTCTCTAAACCCTTAAACAAATGCTCGGCCAGCAGGCAGTCTGTCTCGTGGCCGCACGCAGCGTGATGTTTCTTCTGTTCGGGGCGTCTGGATTCATAAAGGGGCTTGAATAAATGCCAGTAGTATTCTTTGGGGTTCTCATTATACTATGAACTGTTTATGATTCTTGAGGGTTCCTTGTTATAGAATCTTTTCACATACCCCCCCCAATTTTTGTTCCAAATGTTACGGCACCTAGGCTAGGCTAGGCTGGTTCTCGAAAGTGAAAACTTATGCTAAACATTGAAACCCTAAGCCCTAAACCGTTCGCTGCATGTTCATCTTGTGCTACGCCAAATTTCAGATATCCCAGCGATTTCCATCAGTTCGGGTGGCTTGCAGGGCCAAAGCAGGATTGGCTGTGGCAGTGCTCTGGGAGCACCGACGACCGCCAGCAGTGTGCAACCTTCTCAAAGTGCAGGCAGCTGGGAAGTGATCGCAAGCTGGTGACCCGTGTGCGTGACCTCATTGTGGAGCTGGACACAGCCAAGATACTGCACACGAGGCTCTTCGCAGCAGATCGCCTAAACGAGGTCGTGGCTGCCCTTGAAGAGAGCCATCTACAAGCATGGAGCGTGGGTGTCCATGCGCAACATGCTGGACTTGAGCGCCTCGGACCTGCAGCGGCGGCTGCGCATGAGCTGCAACGGCAGAATGACATCTGGTACCCGCGTGTCAGAGGCCATGAAGCACTTCATGGCAGGCCAAGTGCATCCCAAACCCTAAGCCCTACACCCTAAACCCCAACCCCTAAACCCTGAACCCTGAAACCCTAAAGGGTTCGGCCTTCGGGGGTTTTGAGATTTTGGGGAGGAGCCAGCAGGGTGGAGCACCGGGCAGGGGCAGCACGTCCTTCATCCGACTGTATCAGCCTAACCACAAAAAGTCGCAATGTCGACTCTGGTTCTTTGTATCAGGATCTCTCGTTTATGTCGGGGACTTAATAATTAGAATAGGGTTTGGGGGTATATTATACTCTACTTATCATAAGGAGCCCCCACAATCTTTTTTTAATTATTAAGGCTCCTACATTAGGCCTCACCGTGTTGGTTCTCAATCGACGAGCCCGGCTCCCCAAACCCTAAACCCCTAAACCCCTAATGTAGGGGCCTAAATAATTATCAATACTATTTTGGAGGTTCCTTTTTACAATTATAGTATAAGGGGCCCCAAAACCGTATTCTAATTATTAAGGTCCCAAGGTTAAAGCCCTAAAAAGCCTTAAACCGTGAACCCTACATGGCCCTAAATCTTACTCACTGCCGACCGATCGCAAAACGTACCAGTGCCCACAAACTCAGGAGGGCTTTGGGAGCTTCAGGGTTGAGGATCTGGGGCGGTTGAGGGTCCAGGGTTTAGGAAGTTTAGGGTTTCGTTCATGCGAGATTTGCTGAAGTTGGTAAAAGGTTCTGTTGGTATTTTGTTGAGGGTTGGAACTGTCGTCCAAACCATGTTGGACGTTGGAGCCTGTGTTGAATAGCACGACTTGACGACTATTTAGGCGAGCCCTCAATTTGAAACCCGCGACCCTAAGCCCTAAAGCATAACGTGGTGTTTGACTATGCAATCCTAGACGACCTTGTAATAAAGCTTCTGCGCCTAATCAACTTCTTATGACACGTACACTCTAAAACCCAAATCTCAGATAAAGCCAGGAAATGATATGTAAAAACACATTTGCAACCCGGGAAAAACCTTGAAAACCCTACACAGACAAGGCTTGGCGCCGCGAGGTGACCGCTGGCACGTGCGGCTGGAGAATGGCGAGGAAAAGGCCCCTGTGGTGCAGTCTCGAAGTTGCGGCTTGCATTACCCAGAGAACCCAATACTGTACCCCTTACTTAAGGAATATACCTTAAATCATAATATTAAGGCCCCTATAATTTAATGTATCTTCCTTATTTAGTGAAGGGGTATTGGGCTCTCTGGGTATTGCTATACTATACTATACTATACTATACTCTACTCTACTCTACTCTACTGTACTATACTATACTATACTAATGCTATACTATACTATACTATACTATACTATACTATACTATACTATACTACATTTTACTTTGAGATACCAGAATGTGCTATACTAGAAGAATACGATGCTATAGAATATACCATAATCTACTGGGGTTTAGGGGTTTCGGGTTTGGGGTTTCTGAGGTTTTCGTGTTTAAAGGTTTTCGGGTTCAGGGTCGTTCAAGGTTTCGTGTTTAGGTGTCTAAGGGCTCAGCAAGTTTGGGTTTCGTTTTCCGAGGCTGCATTTGTCAAGGGTGCACGTCGCTGATCATTTTATAAAGTATTATATATGCATGCATATGTGTGTACATGTGTACAGGCATAGAAATATATAAGTGCAACCATATATACACATACCTGTGTATGAATATGCACAGTGGATGCATGTGTGTGTGTGTACTACAGGTATACATGAATGTAGGCATAAACATACACACATATGTACATATTTATGTAATATGCCCAACGGGTTTGACTTCATATGTTTGTTGGTGTAGCATGTCCTTTCGTACCTAAGACGGCCACATCTGCTTGTTTATAAGAGAAATTCATATACATACATATATATATATATGTACATCTATACATATGTATATATACATATATACATATATACATATATACATATATACATATATACATATATACATATATACATATATACACATATACAGATATACATATATACATATATACATATATACATATATACATATATGCATATATACATATATACATATATACATATATATACGCATATATATATATATATGTGTGTGTATAGACAGAGTGCATAGTTTCACACATAAGCTGTATGGCTGGGCGTGCAGTCTTACTCCCCTTGTTATCATAGTACTGAACCCATAAAACCTATAGCCCCTGGAACTATGTGCCGATCTCCCTAAACCCGACGCCCTAAATCCTAGCTCAAGTGAGACGTCGGAGGCGCTGCGGCCCAGCAACTTGGCAGTGCTGGCTGAGCAGGAGCCGAACCTCCTGAGCAGGGTTTTTAAATAGACTTATAACGGGTTCAGGGTTTAGGAGTTTAGGGTTTATGGGGGCTTATTAGGGTTTAGGGTTTGAAGGATTTAGGGTTTCTTGTACGGGCTTTAGCTGCTCTATTTGCAAGGCTAAGGGGGCTCCGTAAGTAGGTTTCGCTTAAAGCTTCAAATAGGGTTTAGAGAAGGGTTCTACAGGTTTGGTCAGGCTGTTTGGGGTGTCGAGGCTTCGGATTTCGGTTTAGTTTTCAGGGTTTTGGGGGTTCAAGGCTCTGCGAAAGCAGTAAGTCGGAGGACGACACATTTTCCATCCATTCAGGGGCCGGTGGACCTAAACCCTAAACCCTCTGAAGTCCTGAAATCCTTCTTGCGCTGCAAGCAGTTTTGTTTGTCGCGTGCAGTCTGATATGGGGGGCGGGGCACTAAACCCTAAGCCCTCAGGAGTCCTTGGGGCTCGCAATCATAATTCTACTGCAATATAACCCTAAACCCTAAACCCTAAACCCTAAACCCTAAACCCTAAACCCTAAACCCCCACGCCTGAAAGGATCACATTGTCAAAGATTCCTTCTTGAACCGCCAAGTCCCTTCGCAGTTTACCCTAAAGCCTAAACCCTAAACCCAAAACCGGATGTCAGAAAAGCCTCAAAAACGTGCTCGCAAAATGTATCTTGTCACCAGAACTCAGGGCTCCATACAAACCTGTGCTGCGAAAGTACTAAAATATACAAATAATATGGGAGTTTCCAAAAATAAGGGGTTCCTTCTTTTGGTGTCCCTATATTAAGGATCCTACTATTTAGGGCACTATATTCGGGGCCCCTGTTTGCGGAAACCCCCACATGCTAGATGTACTGTAATATGTAATATACGATATACGATAATATACGACAGTCTACTATAACATGCTGTATAATGTCTAAACCGTAAAACCCTAAGCCCTAACCCTGAGCCATGAGCCCCTAAGTCCAAAGCCTGAACCCCTCTCTCGTAGAAACCTCGTACACAAACTCTTTGCGAACCACCCTCACATAGTAGGAAGCCCTCTAACACATCTAAACCCGAAAAAAACTCAAGCCCTAAACTCTACAAGACCCTACACTCTAATCCTAAACCTTAAAGCCTTTGAAACCTTAAAGTCTTATAGTAGCTGTCATAGAACCCTCCTAGAGTAGGCCCCCCAAAGCCTCAGCCCTAAACTTTGAAATCCTGCTTGGAGGGTCATGGGACTTAGGTTTAGGGTTTGAGGTTTAGTGTCTAGGGTTAGTAGCTGGGGCTGTAAACCAGGTAACTAGTTAACTCAAAACACCGGTTTGGGTACTTATGACCTTACTTACCAAGTCTCATGATCCTGCAAGAAACCAGGCAACTAGCTACTTAAGACCCCGGTTTGGGCACTTATAACCTTACTTGCCAAATCCCATGATCCTCCAAGTAGCCAGGTAACCCTAAACCCTAACCCCAAACCCTAAACCCCTAACCCTAAAATTACAAAGCCCTTCAAACCCTTATCAAAAATAAACCCCCTAGCCTAAACTTACCAAACTCTTCAAACCCTAAACCCTAAACTCCAAACCCTAAACCCTAACCCCTAAACCCAAAACCTCAAACCCTAAACCCTAAACCGCAAACCCTAAACTCCAAACCCTAAACCCTAAACGCTAAAACCTAAACCCCAAACCCTAAACCCCTAAACCCTAAACCCTAAACATAAACTCTAAACCTAAACCCTATAAAACCTAAACCCTAAACCCTAACCCCTAAGCCGCCTTTCTTTAAAGG